AAAAAAATCTTTTGAGATGTAATTTTATTTAATATATTACTATTACTAAAATATTTGTGCATATTACCTACTTTTATGCAACATTCAAATTGATTAATTGAAAAATATATAAGTGTACTTACTGCTATCTAGGTTTTGAATTCATTATGACAAAAAATTAAAATTCCTTCATTTGAAATAAAAGAATTATACACAAATAAAATCGTTTTTTAAATTTACATAATGAAATCAATAGAAATTCATATTTTTTCTCAATAATGACTTATATTTTAATTTTAAACATTAAACAATTGCTTCAAAAAATAAAATACTTGTAAAAAACAAATTTTTAAATTAGCTTTAAGCAAAATATCATTAACATTTGTCATTTCATATTGTACTAAAGAAATATTGTTTAGTTCACCATGAAATAATAGGTTCAGAGAGAATTTTTTAAAAGGCAATTGTTCATTGCATCCACTCTCGCTACTAGATCATATTTCCTAGTTGAACGCGGTTGCTTGATCTAATAAAAATTAAAACAAAAAGATGAACGTAAAATGTATATCAAATGAAAAACACAGATATCTATCAAAGTTGATTTACTTTTTTTTAATAATTAGAAATCAATTAAACAAGTTATTACTATGAAACATTAATTAAAGTTAAGCAGTTCAGTTGTAATTTGCAAGTGTAGATAACTGTTTTAAACTATTTTACTGTAATGTACTTTTAGTACATTTACAAAGTGTTTATCATAAACAATTCCAAAATATTAATTACAGAAATGTTTGCCTCTCTACCATAAAACTGGTTATAAATAACGCAAAATGTTTTTTTTTGGTCTATAGTCGATAGTGAAGATAGAAAATATCTTCACTATATATAATAATGAATAGTGGTACTTTTTATCATATATTTCAAATAAATTGTTTTATTAAAATTTTCAATATTATGTACAAAGTTCATTAAGTAACTGAAATTACTTATATAAGTTTAATTTTTTTAAAGTTAATTTTGTTGTATAAAAGTTTTATTATTGATTTTTCATATAAAACACAGAGTTGTTATGTTTTAAACACGTTGTGTTAAAACACTAAAAATTTCAAAATGTATATCGGCCTATAGAACGTTTTGAACTGGTTATTTAAAAAAGCATGTTTTTATCAACCCGGATAAAACATTTAGTTGTATCTCTAAGCGTTCGTTAGATATGATATAATATTTATAAATATTACAATTAGGATGAATCTATAAAAATTTGCATGTTTTATAATTTTCATGAAAAACTAATGGGTTTACGAAAAAAAAAAATGTTTAATCTAGTTTTGTATAAAATGTTTAGATCTATATTTATAATAATAATAGTAATTTAAATAATGATCATTAATAATTAATGTTTTTTTTTATTTAACATTTGTGTATGATTTAAATAGAAAATACGAAAAAACTATCCTAACAGACAAACTTTAAAGTCGGCTTCTGTTAAACTTATCCGATGAAAATATCCAAAGTCTGAAACTGAGGAATGTAATTTATGGAATCTAATATACATTATAATTTATAATTAAAAAGTGTCAATAATACAAAATAAAATACTAATAATATCAGAAAATTATTATAAAGTATTTAACGTCATACATTTATACGTTATACATTTAGATGGATACAGCTGAACTATATCTATTGGTTGTTAAAATCGAATTTACAAAATATAACAAAAAAATAATAATAATCGTATAAACGTTTCTTAAGACGGTTACTTTGCGCGTTGAAGTAAAACATATGTTGCATATTGTCAAATGTATTGTGTCGGCACCGGATTTATCTTGTTGTTGGTCGATACATCATTGACACGATGGCAAATTTGGAAATAAAAGAACGTAAAAAGAATATCGCCCCTGTAAGAACGAAAGGAGGAAACTCGAAAAATGCTACTCTTTTTCTTTCTTTAATGTCATACCTTTCACACAATGGCAATTTTTCACGAGGACAAATATAAAATACGACTTGACCACAACACAAGTCCGACATATTCAGCATTATATAATAAATGCATTACATTATTGGTGTTGGTAAGGAGGATTGACAAAAAATCTGTTTAATCTTCCGGTCTCTGCCGTTCAGCACCTGCACAACAATATTCGGACACTCCTACATCAAAATGCGAATTTTTTATTTAATAGGTACGTTGTCGTTGAAAATAAATTTAGTACGTAAATGATCAAAAATTCAAAACCAAAATCTACTTATAAGTCTTACACAGCGACAACGCTTTCAATGTCATTTAGAATTATATTTATCTACCTATTTACCATCGACCACATTTATATTGATTATATCCTTCACATTTGTACTCAAATAATATTTTGTGAATTAATAAATAAAATCTGTAATTATTTTTTAGAAAAAACACACCATACTAGTTAAAATTTCACTTTTAAACATTTTAACTTAAATTTACGTTTTGTATGATTAGTATCTATTAAAGAATATTTTTTTAAACTACTGTAATGTACTTGATAACAATATCTTAATCAATTTTTAATTGATTAATAGTCATTTTAAATTTAATTTGTAAATTGGTAGTTTGCATAAATGCGATATTAATTTATATATAAATTAATTAATTAATCACTACATAAAATCGGTCAATGTTGACTTGGATTTGGTTCATTTATATTAAACCGGAAGAACGTACATTATGACGTCCTTATTTTCATTGTATCGCCACCAGATATATCATACACACATTGTAGGCGACATGACCGCTATGGTCAACTACCAGGGTTAATAGTTTTTTTACTATGATTAATGTTGTCTTATGGTTTGTATTAAAATGTTGGGTTTCACAATGCTCAGCAATTTATATTTTCTTTTAGACTATATTTTTAATTCAAAAGAAAAACGTTATAGTATTTGTAGATAATTCAGATCAACTGTACTTTAATTAGGATTTCTTAGTCAAAACTCTGTAGATAAATTATTATTAATTAAATAAATCTTTACAGTTTTTTTTTTTATTTCTATCCGCTGTGCATTAATCAACCCGGTCTAGTTTCTAAATTAATAATACAAAATAAATTGAAGCTATTAATAGGAGAAAAAATTAACAACCCTAATCGTGCAATATCATTTCTAAAACAAAAAATACATAACCTATTGTAGTATAATTTTCTTTAGGTAAAATAGTTTAATTGCTAATTTTCATATAACTGAATAAATTAAGGATTGTTTAATAATTCCAGAGAGAACACGGCTACGGATGCCGAATGAATGATCTGCCTTTTTTTAACTGTCCCAAATTTCAAATTTGTTTGAGTATATTTCACTGTGGAACAACGAATTAAAATTTAATGAAAATACGTAGTACTAGACCATTGTCGAAGAGGTGGCGGAAGAGAAACTGTTTGGTGTTCGGCAGCAAGTCGTTTCGCCCTCCGCACAACTCATACACGTCATCCGTATGATTTTATTATTCAATGCCCTTGCCGTCTCGCATTGTGAACGAATTCACCAAACGATTGTATCACTTTATCTCTCTCTCGTCTATTTCTCTTGCGTATACACACACAATCGTATCGTTTGTCACGGTGGATGTGTATGCCCTGGTACATATGTGTATAAGTAAATACTTGGCGCATTACACGGCCGAATCGAAATTAGCACGGTGCACACCCCCGTACAATCCACGGTCGGATGGGGCTGGTGTGTTTTGATGAGCAAATTGAGCATAAACGAGTCGCCGCCGCAAGGTAACCAAATATAGTTTATTATAAAAAAAAGAAAAATCCTTCTATCGTAACATAATAGTAGACGCGTACGGATGATCGGAGGATGACGTGTTCGATCAACCGCCTCTAAGTCGGTTCTCTTGTTGATGTGTACGCCATAAATAAAACATGCATTATTTATTTTAATGCTTACCCATACGCATAGGTGTATCATAATGCTGCTTACCTATTATACTTGTCTGCGACAGATCCGTCAAAATCCGTTTTGCCTGACGGACCGCGAAATCGCTAGTTTATTTATCGCATTCATGTTACATTTCCCATTTTAAAAACACAAAGTGTAAAAAAATAACAATAAATATATAGGCAGCCAACGTTTCATTACATTGATATACTTTTTTCTTGTAATGTATTTATTATCTTTCAACGTTTAAAAATCCCTACAACTACTAAGATCACCCAAAGGTTTTAAACTATAATAAAGGTAAATAAATTCTCACACCTACAAACAATTTTTACAGCTATACAAATAGCTGTTTTTTGTATAGATGGTACGCGAAACAATCAAGAAATGTACTGCGATTGGAATTTAGTTTTCAACAAATATCTTTTGATATATTTTATTCTGTAATAGACGTGACATTATCAATTTCACTCCATCAATTTAAAACCTTTAGTTATATTCACCATAGTTTTTCAAAACTTTTTTTTATTAAGTTTGAGCATCAAAAGTGTCTAATAAACTTTAAGTAAAAATAGATGTCTAAAGATATTTTTATGTTTTTAATTAAAAAAGTTCAGTTGACATTTTTTTATAGTATTAGTGAAAAATCCCAATTGAGAAATATTTTACTAAATAACCTATTGAAAACGTAGATACAGTAAAAAACTTTAGCTTTATAATCTATCTTCATTTTAATTAATATTAACTTCAACTAACGGAATAAATAGTAAATATTACCTTTAAAAAATAAGACGTTTAAAAATAAAATAATAAAACAAGTGAAAGTTATACCCGCAGAAAAAAAATCACATTCTTAATAATATTTTAAATGGTATCGTTTATAGCAAAAAGTGCCTTGGTACCATCAAGGAACCGAAGAATTCAAAATTTAAAATAATTTAAATGAACCAAAAAAGTTTTGCTCTGATGATTAATATCATATAATCGTGTATCTAAACAAACAATAATAAATAGACCGCTCAAATGAATTAAGTAGTTAATTAATGTACACATATGGATATTGTCGTGAAAATTAGCAGTTATTATAACTAAATAATTATTACCTTTTCGGTTTCATCTAAAAATAAAAACTTGCTGGTGATGTAAAAGAGTAAATTAGTAAAAACATTTAAATTGATACATTTTTTGCAAGTGGGTCGCACCACCCACAATAGACTACACGTATATATAAAGAAGTAAACATCCGTGAATGGGCCACGTCGATACACAACTACGATGCATAAAAAGCTCACTTGAATACTCGTGACTGAGTGTAAACTTACGTAAATGGCATTCCTTCAGACAATCAACAGATGTGTTTTGCTCAAAATATAATTTGTTCATAACAGTAAACATCCGCTCAGACAAGGATTGAGATTTATACTAAACGCGCATGCAAGAGATAATAAATTAATTCTGACAAGCGGATAAAAATTTGGCAGTAACATTTTTTAGGTTGAGGTTATGCAATAAAATTACAGTTTTATATACTATGATATAACACATAATCATTTCAAATTACAGGGTTAACTAAATATCTCTATTTAATAGAGATATTTAGTTATTTAATATTTTAATATATATATTTTAATATATTTAATATTTTAAGTTTAATATTTTTTAGTTTTTAAATGAATAATATTTTTAATATACTTTTAATTTTACTTAAATTCTATTTACTTATAAAAATTAACAAGGTTCAAAACAAAATAATATTATCATCTCTACCTCTAAATTTGAATCAAAATTTCAACGTGGTTTGTACCAAACAAATAAAAAATTATTAAATACAGGAAAATTATTTTATCATTGACCACTTAATTAATCGAAAAATAAAAACAATGAAAATTATTTTTTGTTAATATGACTTTGACAGCTTTAGTCATTGCTTCCACATTTACAAACTATAAGCAATTATTTACTTAACAAATAACATTTACAATAGATTTTATTTTTTCCATTCATATGTTTTTCTCAACTCATCATTCATATAGTATTTTCATGTTCATTTCTTATACATTTATGAGGATGTCAACTTTAATTTATTAAATGGCTACATGAATATTGCACATTATATAAGCTATAATAAAATATAAAATGATCTAACTAAAAAAATGACTGGGTGATAACACTTTTTGGTTTAGTATTTTGAAAGTTTTCAATAAAAAAGACTGGAGGAAGGTGTGAGTTTTGTTACTTATTGTTATCACTAGACATTTTCTGGCCTTACTTTTTATGCAGCTTAAGGACATAAAATGAAAATTACTTCCATAGTACTGATCCAAAAGTTGTTATAATTTTTTTAATTAGATAATTTCCTATTTTATAAGCTGGTTAAATATATATATGTTATTATTTAAAAAATAAAATGAAACCCTATAAGTTATAAGGGATGAGCCTAAAAAGTAATTATTAGCTGATAAAACAAGAACTATATGGAATTGAAAGAAATCAAATATATTTAAAAGAATTGTGTAGCTTAATTAATATATGTTAACACATTCATAACAATTGTAATTTCAACTTTTTCTAATATTCTATAAGTTTACAATTATATTCATTTACTAATGTATGTTTTTTTTTGTTAAGAGGTTGTGTTATTCCATAAATAAACAATTTAAAAAGATAAATATATGTAATAATGAAAATCTATTCTACGTCGATATAAAAATACGAGTTTTTCGATGTTCATGTAAATTTAAATATTAATTTTTTAATGGTTGTTAACCATAACATATACAATACTACTCCTAAAGTATCATCAAGTCATGATTCCGAAGGCGGTCCTCTCAGATCCGTTATTTTCAACAACTATAGCAAACAGTAACCATAATTTATTACATCATTGATACACCCGCACCGGCTTATACATTTATGCCGTCCGGAAACAAGTATCCCATTGACCATGTTCACCGGGCCGAACATCCACCAATGCACTTTACCCTATACAACAGTGGCGGTACATCCACAGTATCTTTTCTTCTTCTTCTTCTTCTTTACACGTACACATTATTAAATGGGCCTTTTGTACGCACAAAAACATCAACTACCTCCGTCCACCTGTTTGACTTGTCGGTTTTTCATTCATAAAAAATGAAATACCCTAACGACGACCGACGACCGGCTACCAAATTACGATTACTAGCACTTGAATGGAATGAATGGACTGTAGACGATAACGTAGTATACGAGTGAGTAAGAACTAAAAAAATGTACAATATGAGGTAAAGGAATATTAACGATATAAAAAAGGGGATGAAAATGACAATTTGTCCGTTTATAGTATGTGTGTGTGTATACATTCTCTATACTTATACACACGCGTTATAAATACTACAGTTGTATTAAATTCTTGAGTCTCTCTTTCTTCTACAAAAATGCGTGGGAACTCTTCTACACCGATGCAAATCACTGTTTTTTTTTACTTGCTTTAAATTTATAATCGCATCATTTTACTATTGAACATTATTTGTTATTTTTTCTTGGTTTAAGTTTTTTTTAAATTATCCGTGGTTGGACCAAAATTCGACACAGTCTTTACATACAGCGAATTTTCAGACAGATTGACTAATCAATTATAAACTGACAACTCCTTTAAAAGTAGTAATTCTTGAGAAGTTCAAAAGCGAAAATTCAGCAAAAATCACTGGGTCTAGGTCGTTGCTTGTGAATTTCTTTTTTTTTTACGGCAATTATCGCTGTTAACGTTCCAAAAAAATTTTGAATCCCTCGTAATCTTTAGTGAGAAAGAGATTGTGTCTTGGCTTCAGTCCATTTCTCATAAGCATTTCTAACACCCACGACGATCATACGGTTATTGCGTTATACAATGTTCGAGTTAAAAATAAAGACACCTTCCATTGATCGTATATATTTCAGAAACATCAGAGTTATATTTTTCGAAACCATTTGTAATTTTATTGTAATGTATCTATTAAAAGAATGGTGACACGCAGGGCCATTCCGAAGGTAAAAACAAAAAATAAATAACATGAAATTACCAAATACTTTTTAATAATGGTTGTTATTAATAACTTAAATACTACAAATTTTCTATTTAAATAAAAAATAACTAGAGGGAATGAATCTCTTGATGACCTTCATAAAACAGTCCTAGTGACACATTATTAATAATAGTAATCAAATATATGACAAGAATTAGACTATATTTGGATAACATTAAATAAATAAAAATATCTCACTATATATTTTAATTAAAAAAAAAATGATTGGATAAAAACATAAACTGTCAGTTCAAAACCTAATAATAACTTAGGAACCTAAAATGATTAAACTATTAAATTAATATTAATAGATATCTTTTTAAATATTTGTAACAATATTAATACTAAAGAGAAACCTAAGTATAGATTATTTAGGGAGGAGTTTGAATACATAAACCCCCACCTCGTTATTTTTAATTACTTGTAAATATTTGTAATGAGACTTAAAATCTTTAAACAACCTTTTACTTATGATTTTAGTATTTTAGAATTATTTTTAGTATTAATCATTTTTTATTAAAAAATAAGAAAACTTGATACATAAATAATAGGACATATTTTTCTGATTAAAAAAAAGAGCCAATTAAAAGAGCGTTTATGAAGAAAAATAATTTTACGTTTTATATAAAATTCTTACAGTAGGATATGAAAAAAGTAAAATAAAATGTCATTTTAATTGTTTTTATTATCATTGCTTATTTGTCACAAAAAGAAGTTTCAATTAGCTGCAATCAAAATTAAAAGAGTGTGAAAAACTTTCTAATGACTCGCCGATTGCTAATATATACGTCTCATATGTTTATGATAAATTTTATTCGAGAACCAAAAAAATTGTATACATAACTGTTATGAGTATTTAATTCTCGTAGAATGTATAATATTTGTGTGAAATTAAAATTTGGAATGACTACATAATTACTCATCAAAACTGAAAATAAATCTTCAATTCGGATGTCAATTGTAAAAATGAAATTACTTTTAAAATATTTATTCTCAAGCCGTATTTTAAATGGTAATGTATTGAAAAAATATCAAATAAGTAGTCTAATCCATATAAGTAATAAGTACTGTATTCTTTCCTTTAATTATGTATTGTAAATTTGAATTTAGAAATTAGTATAGAACTTATTACAACAAAAATTATTATATGTACCTATTTTCAAAGAAGTGTCATTTGAACATTATTTAACAATTCAAACTAATGGCCTCTTTCCATCTGACTAACTCAAATAATTCTATATATAACTGTTATCTCAAATTTCTAAATAAACATTCCAAGTAATTTTAAATAACTGAAAAATAGAGTAAAAACACAATTTCAATTAGTAACATATTTATGATATGCCATTCTTATTTTGTACTTAATATCTAGTATGTACGTCCTAAGATGTATATAGAAGTCCATGTGTATCAACCGACAGTGACAGCTTCAATGACCCACAAACCCCCAAAAGTTGTGTTTTTGACGCCAATGTAAGCTGTTATGCTATTTCTGTAAATGAAATAAAACTATATAAATAGTATTCAAAATAATGTGACTACTCATCCGTTGAACTTCGTCTGATCTGTTTATACACCCACTTTGATTATTTTTACTGGCAAAAATGAGATTTGGCATTAAATCTATTGTATTTCACTTTCTGACTAGAACACCATACTTGTAATGAAAAATACGTTTTCACATAGCAAATAAAATAATTTAGCTGAACATGAATATAATATTTAAAGGTTAAACAGATAATTTCACACAAAATTGACGCCACAAAACAATGATTAGGAAACGAAAATTTGGTGCTCTGTTTTAAAATATTTCCAATTTACGCATATGTTAAAAACTCAATGTATTTACGATAAATTGAGTTTAATTATTTATTTAAAAAATAGTAAGCTACTTTAATTAATTCTCATGTTATAGGACATTATTTGAATTATTAAAAAATAGTACAATACCAGAATATAATTTTAAATGTAAAATTGTTGTATCTTTGAAATAAGATAAATATTATTAAACGGTCGTAAATCTGATTGTAATACATATGTTATTAAAAACATGCTTCAGTAATAATACTTAGGTGTTAAACCGAATCAAGACAATTGAGATGTGCACAATGGACCAATAGGTCTGAGTGCATGGGCATTATGTCCACCTCTCCAATAACTAAAACTAATAAAAACATGAAAAAATAATATTATGATTTATTTTAAGTTCCTTATCTATGCCTGATAAAACAAGTACATATTAAAATTTGAATTAAAAGGTAATCCATTAATTTTTATTAATTATAAAAAAAAATGACTACAACTTTTTTTTCATGGGATTTTGGTTGGAATTACTTATTCTTCTTATTTATAGTAAAAATAAAACTATGTTTATATAAATGTTAAGTTTGTTTATTTTGAATATATACAGTTCTAATTAAACATTTTATTTCATTATCATAAATGATATTCCGTTAGTTTATTATAGTTACAATATTATTAGTTCACAATAAGTGAAAATTTTGTGTGAAGACTAAAATTACTCATTTAAAAACATAATTCTATCAAGTGCCGTAATATACTTGGGTTTATATTTTGTTCAAATATGCCAAAGATGTGAGTGATGAAATCCTAATTGCTATTTCATATTATTAGTTTTTAATAACGAAAATTTCAATTTTTGTTTTAAAGTTAATAAAAATACATATGAATTAATATGAATTTATCACATGATAAAAGAATATTAACTTTTGGGGTTCATAAAGGTCTTAACCAAACTTCGTTGTAGTTCATAAAATCATTACTCGCCTATTATTATAAAATTATTTTTCCACATAAACATTCCTTGAATATTCTCTGTGATGTAATCCCTCATTATTTGAAGTACAATTTTAGACACTAAATATGGCATAGGGCATTTAATCATTAAATTTAACGGGTATCAAAACATCTGCAACGAATATTAAGGTTTACTTTAGCTGAAGGGATATTACTTAAATTTTATATAAGTTATATTAATAAATTTATCTATTATTATTTTCACACTTTGTTGAGTTGATGTTTTTGCAAGATCCTGGTGCGCAGATTTTACCATAGTACAGGGTCATACGAGAGTACATAATTTGGGGGTCGAGTGGGAGGTGTTTCGTCAGAGCTGAGCTTTTTCTATTTCTAGCGATGCCCATCTCGAAGAAGATCGAAAATACAGTCCGCTGGCCGTTATTATTCAGTGGCGTGAAAGGATCGGCTGAAGCAACAAGACATTTATCAGGTAATTTGTTTAACTTAAATTTGCTTTGACTTTTTAAACTTTTAACTTTTACAAGTACTATTTATATTATAAAAAAATAATAACAATAATAAAAAAAAAAAACATATTGCTTTAATTCGATGGATAATTAAATATTTTTTCATTCTTATTTCAAAATAATATATACGCGTAAAATTTGAATGATCTTACAATTTAAATCTTTAAATATCAAATGCGTTAAAAATGAATACAATGAAAAATATTTGTTCCGATTTCAAAAAAAATATAATTATATGGTGATAGTTGAGTAACTTATAAAAATGTTTGCACTAAATTAAAAACATAACTTTAATAAAGATTAAAATATTAATCATTGGTATTGTTCTAAATTTTTCTATTTACATAACAGCAATTATTAATTTTAAATACTACTAAAACAAAACATTAAGGAAATATTTAAGTACTAACAGTGTTAAGATGCATACAATTTAATAAAAATGTGAATTTGGTTCACTTAGTGTTAACATACTAATGTTTTGCAAATTGTATACTTTACCATCAGTTATGTATGAGTAAATACTTTATATTATGTAAAAGTTTACATTTTTTAGTTTTTTTTTTATAATTGTGGTTACTTTAACTTTTTTAAAGTTTAAATATCTTATAGCTTTCCCCTTTTTCGGTCAGCGAGTTTTCGATCTTATTACTAATCATATGTCCGTAATAAGTGAGCTACAAATGAACGTTATTTGGCCCGGATTCCTTGAGCTTATAATAAATTTTGGATACTGTCCATAGACGCCTAAAGTAGCTTTATAACCGGTAAAATTATCTATAGAATTTTTGTTATAAAAAATATAAAGTTCTGAAAAATAATATTTACCCCAATAATCGAGTTGAACTCATACGAAAATTCTAATTATCAAGATTACATCATTGAAGATTAAAATCGTTTTCTTTATATATTATTTTAATAAAATTTTAGGTAAAACTAAAGGCATAAAAATAAACGTAGAAAAACTATATCATTTCATTACTGTTGATTATATTCATTTTATAGAAATATAATTCCATTGTAATTGGCTTCTCAATTATTTACGATAATTTTATACTATTATTACATTCGAGTAATTAAGATTTAAGTTTAGTTTTATCCATGAAAATTAAATTGGATTACCATAGATTATCAGTAAATCAAAATTTGAAAGCCACTCTTTGAAGTTAATATACTCTAGTTGATATCCATAGAGGGTCATCATAAAATGGGTCTTGATTTAATATAAGGAGTGTTGACTAACCTTTTCAAGGAAAATGCTTGAGTCAGCGCCAATTATCTCAGTATATTTGTACACATGTCAAAAAAACAATATAATTTGGCTCTAATAATTTTATCATACAATATTTAAAAAAATGTTTAGTTTGACATAAGTGATAAATTTCAACATTCAAACTATAATTATAATTTGATGATTTTTTCAAATTTTTTTTATTAATTCTATTAACTTTCTAAAATAAAATAAAAATATACAATAATATTATAATCTAGACGTAAAAGCGTTTTATAAATCTAAGCATTTTATTATTCGTTTTATTTTTTGACACGATAATTAGGCTATGTATAATTATTAGTAAGTTTTTAACGATAAAATGACAACTCGGGACATAAATGAGAGATGATACGCCAAGGTCAAGTATTCAATAATAATTACAGACGTCGTTTTTGAAGATGTGTGCAAATTACAGTATAATAATAGAATAGCCTATCACATTGAATGCCAAAAAAAGTTCACAGGAAAACACCATAGGAACCCGGACAATTTCCAGATGCCAATTCCTCGCCTCAATTTCTTCCACTGTTTTCTCTCTTTAAACACTCAATTAAAATTAACGGATAATGCTTATAAATAAATAATTAGTATAAACATTATGATTTTCTCTTACATCAAAAGAGCTTAATAATTAAGATTTCGTAACATTTGAATTTCTTATTAATTTCACTAGTTAATTACTTATCAACGCATAGCTTTACAACGACACAGAAACTACGACTAAATATATATAATTCAAATCACTGCTCTAATTATGACTAAGTGTATTATTCTTTTCATTAGATGATATAATATATAATATTATATTATTTATAGTTAAACTTGATTTTATATTCGTCATTAGTTACTCAACTAAGAAAAAAACCTGAATAAATCTAACTTCTAAACAAAAAAGAAATAACTACCCTTTATAAAATTATTATACGATTGCTGTGTAAGACTTCTTTTAAATTTAATAAACTTTTTGAGGATCTTTTTCTAGTTCATAGATTTTTTCTAGAACTGTGGTATTCAATAAAAAAACGAATATGATTTTTTTTCATATTGAAATTATTTATTGTCTTTATTGAATATATTATATTTTTTCCAGAAATTATTTGTTTATTTGTCTGTTGTACCATTTAATTCGCAAAAATGTTGAAGCAACATCTTGACATGATTGGTAGAAATGAACCCATCCAGAGGAAAGCAAAATTCTGGCAATCATATGTCAGAGCATTGAAAGGTAATCCATTAATTAAGATTTGTACTAAGATACTGACAACTTGTGAGTTTATGTATATTATTATCACAATTCGGATTGTAACATAGTTATAATATGCCAAATCATAACATTATGCTAAAATAATNCCAGAGGAAAGCAAAATTCTGGCAATCATATGTCAGAGCATTGAAAGGTAATCCATTAATTAAGATTTGTACTAAGATACTGAGTTTATGTATATTATTATCACAATTCGGATTGTAACATAGTTATAATATGCCAAATCATAACATTATGCTAAAATAATGGTTTAACGTTTTATGTGAATTTCAACAAAACTCACAAATCTATAAATAAAAGATCATAAAGAGTGGTCGTAGTATTTAAAATTTTAAAAGAACGACACACTTAAACACATATAATGTCTAATGCAAAATGATCAAGTCATTAATTTTTAGTATAAACAATAAAAATGGTAACACATATCATTATGTGTGTTCTTGTATGTTTTCTATTTTTATCTTCGAGAAAAACGATTAGGATATTTGTCTCTCACATTAGTAATCTATTTCGCAAATATTGACCAATTTTAATTTAAAAACATAATTTCATTCAAATTACGGATTTGTACTTAAACAAATGAACGTCGATTAATAATGAAACGGTTAAATTTATTTAAAATCGTCAAGTAAATATCTAATAATAATTAATAGTTATGATTGGTTTTACTTAACACCTCCATACGTTTGAGTTGTAATAGGTTAATTTCTATTTCTTTTTTAAGGATCTGATGACATGAGGGCCCCGGAAATTACACATTATCACACACCTGGAAGAGGCATATTCCGGCCGATCCTGAGCGTTGACTATCCAACATGGCCAAGCTACAAGTCCATCTACGATGATCCAATCAATCCAAATGAAAGAATCAACGTTCCCGGCTACCGTTATCTGCCCATCTCACGTGACACATACGGAATTTCTCCCAGAAACATTTACCCACACAACTATCATTCGGATCGCTATCCCAGATACGGTACGTACTGATGACGTCTCAAGTCACAACAGGAACTGCAAAATAAAAAATTAAAAACATCGCCACCGCCGCTAAGCCAACATATTTTAATCCTTAGACGCAAAAAACATCTAATCGATTAATAATAATAACAATAATATATTTTTTATCAAACAATTTACAAATCATAATTGACGAATCTCGAATTTGCCACTCGTATCTCATTTGTATCTTTATTTATATTCCGTGTTACATAAATGAAAAAAAAAAAAAGTCCACCGTGATTTCCGGGACTTGATAAATATCTTGTTATTTATTTTTATAAAAAGGCAATCGATCCTCTCGTGAATTTAATACCAATGGAAAAAATAATTAAGTAATTTATTTTAATAATTAGATTTCATTTAGACGCACATAATTGTACTACAGGTGTAATCGGAAACAACATATTGTAGCGTTTTGATTGATGTTATATTTTATACTCTAAAAGTATAATAATTGATACCGATATCTGTTTTGTATTATTATGTACTCAACTATTGTTGCCTTTATTATATTTTTTTGTTTATATGATTGAGTTTTTTTTTTTTGAAATATAATATTATTACTTAATACAAATGTGTTGATTCGCTAATTACATTTACTCACCCTTTACATTTTAACATGAGGTGTTCAATGCAGTGTGCTCCTTTCGAATGCCATTGAAAACAGACACCATTGGACGCATCTAATACATTCTCGACCGTTGAAATACAAACGTACATACAAATCACGTTAATTAATCTAAAGCTTCCTGTAGGTGCTACCGCTTGGCCCGCAATGAAGTGATCTGACTAAACATTAATGTAACTATAAGTAATTTAACTTGATGGTTTATTTAAACGATTTTTTTTTCTCTAAACATGCAATCTAAACCTACGGAAGCTTATTTTAAAATGTGAGTGTAATAATACGTTAAAAAAGTGTTTGGTGCTTCATATGGAGTAGTTCAAATAACCATTTAAGAATAATTGGAGTTTGTATCTATTGTACAGAGTATCTACATAGGTATGTCAAAGTGTTTATTTCGATTTACTGATTTATATTTTTTTACCCTGTTCATTAACGAAAGTTACAATGAAAAATAATTGAGCTAATATTGTAATTCATTTTACTCAGATCCATACCATTCTGAGCCTTTTAAAGCTTTAAAAGATTGGAATGATCATTTGGACCGAATGAATGCTTTGAATAAAATATTCCCAGGGGAGCATCCAGCTTACTATGAACCCAAAAAACCTCTACCTCTGCCCGACAGACGTGCCAAGTCCTTACCGCCACCGCCAGTCCAAGGTTACAGCTATTCAGGTAATATGATTCTATGAAATATTAGAATAATAAATATTTATTTATATCGTTTGGTTTTTTTCTACATTTTTAGGATTACCAATTTTCTCAACGGGTGGTATCAAAAGACGGCCTTTATCAGAATTATTTGAACCCAGTGTATATACTCCCAGATCTAGATATGTCAGAGACCCATGGTGGTGGGAGTATCCCCATTTGAAACCTTACACTCCACCAACTGGTACTTCCCCACCTAAGTCATACTTAAGAGATAGCTATTTATCACCAGTTAAGAGAACATATTTGTGGGGACATCATCCAATTAGGCCTTACAGTAAGTAATTATCAAATACAGTTAAAAAAAAAAGTTTGTAAATCTTTTTATTATATTTAATCCCAACCCAAAAATTGGTATAATCGATCTCCAAGAACATTAATGTAAATCTGAGGTTCAGAATTAATTTATATGTTTTATATCAACAATATTATTTCTTTAATCATTTCAAACAAATTAAAATGTCTCATAAATTTTTAAATTATGTGGCTTTTCTTTTAAAATGTAAAATATTTATATAATAATTATTTATTTTCAGCTTATAGTCATTATTATTGATTGAACAAAGTTAAAAAGACAACAAATTAACATCTCAAAGAAACTAAATTGTATAAAAAAAGTCAACATCTTGGTACTACTATTAAGAGTATTATTGAGGATAGAAAAAAACAAGTTGCTGGCATTAAATCTTAACTTATTTATTAATAAACTATTTATCCAGATTTATATTACTTAAATAAATACTGTAAATAGTTAACATATCTGGACATGAAAAAACAAATTTTGTAATAAAAAATCTACACACATAATTACCGATGTCAATCATTTACTAGATAGAAATAAATTATAAATTTAATTTGTCTGAGTTTTATTTTTATTTCACGGAGTTATTTTGTAGAAAAAATACTTAAGAAAAACATATGTAGAATTCATTCTCATAATCCCTCCACGAGTAAATTAATTACATATTGAGAATACAAATTTTTTTCGTTTGAAGAAGGAAGTGAAAATTTTCATTATTTATAATCCCTTCCTCCAAAAAAACAAGACTTAATTGACGACTCTGATAATATTGGCAATATAATAAATGTACAATGCGATGGTTTCCTGTTCCGAGTTTTTTAAAATATTGCACTTTTTTTTTCTGTCTGCGTTTGCTGCCTATAACCATTATACAAATAACAAACGCCATCTACATAAAAAGAATATAAGAATAGCATAAGTATTAGTGTACTTGTTCGCTAGAGTACACTACATATTGTCAAAGTCTCAATTTGTTCTTTTGGTTAACAAAAACAATAATAAGAATAAAATTGTTTTATCGACAATGAAATTTACTTTATCAATATGAACACTATAATTATTTAATATAATATTCATTTATTTACTACATATATAGAATGCTCAGTAAGTAAAGAATTGGGTTTCTATTGTTCTCATTATTTGTAACAATTGACATATTTCCTTACTTACTAAACACTCTGTATATATTTGAACATGTAAAGATATAAAATATTTTATGGTAAAAAATAAATAATAAAAGCGTAAAAATATTTGTTGTGTATCATCACTAGTAAATGGACAATACCAATGAACGTACAACACTGAATTTTTCACTAAAAAATTATCTAATCTGATTGTAACATGTTGTATTTAATTACGCTATAGAAATTAAGACCTACTACAATATCAACATTTTTGATCGAACATCATTAACCGTTCATTCACCGGAAAAATTCCAATTTTCAACCTAAAATAATTAATTGAAACGACTATGTAAAAACCTGTCAAAGTTAATTTTATAAAACAAGCCTAAAATTCTTTGTTATTTTATATTTAAGTATTTTGGCAATTTCGACTTTTTATAAATTAGGTATCTTATTATAAATTGTGTTATTGATTTAATGAAATATCAAGAAAATCGAGGTGAAAAATTAAAATTATTCTATTAAAAAATAAGGAGTTTTGGATAGACAACTTAATGAACATGAACACGATAATCGCTGAAAAAATTAGTATACATAAAGCAAACCATTGGGAAAACGTATAACGATGAAAATAGTAACAGGAATTCATAAGATGAAATAGAAATTTTCCTAATGGGCACCACCAATGATGTCTTACACCGGTATCTAGAATGCCGCTGAATTTTAACTATCACTATTAGTTTCTGTGATACTGTTCTAGATATATTTTGTCGGATTTTGTGTGGCCGATTCCTATATGAATCAAATAATGGTAAACGAAAAAATAATACCAGGGAATCTATGAGAACAGATTTTCCTGATCGGGTTCTCATGTGGTGTCTAGTGGTTGAGTGTCCAACCGCCACTTGACACCTTAATTCTATTAATACGCTAGAGATAATATTTACTTGTATACTATTGGAATTTATGTTGTCAATCGCTATTAATTAACCATAATACATTAAATTTTACCTTACGGTCAAAACAAATACTACTTATATTATCTTTGGAGTATTGTATGCTAATAGTGTATAATAATAAATTATTATTTTCTTTTCTTTTTAACATCTATTTTCCAACAACTTAGGGTCGGTCATACAAATTAAATCTATCATTTATCTCGGTTTTCGACATTTATCTTATTTGTGTTATCTACATAACTCAATAACGTAGACTAATGATATTATATGAATTTTTAAAATAATCTTTACAATCAATTGTACGGAAATAAACTACAATAATTAATTAAATTCGATTCGAAACTTCTACTAAAAAATTATGAAGCAAAATACAATCAATCATAATACTAATAACATTTGCGCTTGTTAAGAATACTGATGTATTCTTAACTGATAGTTACTAAATAACCATGGTACATTTTTTTATTATAACTACACTAATTTATACATTTTTAGTTACTCTTGTTGATTTACATTTCTGATAAACTAGAGCAATCAAATATTTTGAATAATTATAACCACTATTACAATAATAACTAAATATTTCTGAATTCTAGTATAAAAATTTTAATATCAGAACAATTTTTATTACTATGTTGAATACAATACAATGTGAAGTTTAATTGGTATACAATTATTCCTAGTACAATAGAAACAATATAATTATAAGATTGATACATCTTGTAAACTATTAAGTCTTATATTAAAAGTACAAAAATAGATGAACGTTTAATAGTTCTAATTTGTTAATTTAATTTCTTTGGTTTCACACAAGAATTAAACATGTACAATTTAATTAGAATGTCTTCTAATGTCTAGTCATAATACATTTGATTCAATTTGCCCTGAAAAATTTCACATAACTATCCCTATTAATATCGCATATTTTATATCATAGTCACATTAGCTAGTGTTAAAATTATGAAATGAAGTTAAACAAATATTTTTAACAACATAATAGGAAAAAAGAATGTGCACAACCAGAATTTTTCTACAGGAAACTGTAAAAAAATTAATAAAATTGTAATAAGATAAATGTAGTAAGTACTTAATTTTGATTAACCATTTTTTTTTTTCATTTTTCTAATGTATTTAATTCAATTTCAACATTTAAAATCAATAATTACCTATTAATATTAATTATATAAAAAAATACTAGTTTTTTTTTAAGGATATTTTTCATTTTCTTTAATTTTTACTATAAGAGATAATTATATATTTAGATTTATAATTATACATTTTATGTTTAAAAATGTACACCGTAAAACTTGAACGAGATCGCTAACGTAGAATTATATTTTAATAATTAAATTAATTTATAGAAACCCTATTTAAAATATCTTATACGTTTATAAACTAAATATTGACTTTGAAGTATTCTTGAAGAGATCATAAGTTGAATTATATCTATCGTAAAAAATGTATGTTTAAACATAATATAGAGTTTAATTTTAACATTTAAAAAATGTTAACTGACCTAACAATATTTTTAGGGCTACTTCCTATCTAATATGGATTTATATTTTAGGATTTTAGGATATTTTGAGATTTTAGGATTCGACAAATCTATTTTAAATTAATCAAAAAATAATTCTTCAACACAGCTTCTGAAAAACAAAAAAATCGCTGCTATACTTATTTTCTTTTCATCATGATATGTTTAGAGTGTGAAGAATCAAAGAAGAATTTTTCTAAAAAATGTATAATACATTCAATTATTTCGGATGCAGTATTTTAAATTATTTATCTTGTGCATATTAATATTTTGCATGTATATCTATAGTTACCTGTATTACATATATTAGAACCCTTTGTTAAAATGTCCAATTTGTGCACAGTTTTATTTAAAACTAGTCATGTTTAAAACTTGTTGTATTGTTATAGTTGAGTATAAAAACTCTAATAAAAATAATAATAAATACAGATAATATATTTGTGTGTAACCTAATACTATACATTTTTCTTAGAGATAATAATATCATAAAAGAAAATTAAATAACCGAAAATCTACAAAAATTAATAAAAAAATTTGGTCCACGTGTCATTTCGTCTCGTTTCCCATAGTCGTATTTTTAAATCGCCCAAAAAAACTCAATAAGAATTGAATTTTAAGCGATTATCACCCGTAGACCCAGTCTTTAACAAGATACCTAAACATTAAAACATGTTTATTTGTTATAATTAATATTCTGTTAATATCATACGCTATTATATTACAATAATTTATAAAATAAAATAAGTTTGCCTTCTTCCCTATTAAAGTTTGTCGCTAAAAAATGTCTAGTATGAAGATTTTTTTTAGAGCATATAAATGTTGAAAGAAAATATTACAGTTATGTAGAAATGCTTTTGGTTGACATAATAGGTAAGCAGGGAATTATTATTCGGATTTTTTGTATATCTCCGCTATCTGCCGATGTTCTTCTGGCATATCACTATCAGTCCATCCAAAGACATTCTTTTCGGGATTGCTCTCAGACGGGTCGTCGTGAGGACGTGAGCCATCACCTGTTCTCAACGCACGTTTAGCCACTAGTTCAGTAGGTACAGTTTTCAAATCGTAAGCCCAACCAATCCAGAAAAATAGATCAATAAAAGCGGTCGATATATTCAACTTGTAATTCAAAAGTTCTGCATTTCTGTAGTCCCACGGAAAAGTATGATGGTAATTATGCCAACCATCCCCAAAGGTTGCTACCGAAACAATCATATTTTCGGTAGGATTGATATTTCTGAAAAAAAAACCGATTGATTAACTAATGAAATCACAATAACGCAATATTTGTTTAAACCTTATAATGAATATCGTTTAAAGTTGAATACTATTATTTTTTAAGACTTACTTGTCGTACGGCCTGACTCCCCACATATGTGCTGCACTGTTGATAAGAAACGTGCCATGCAATGTAAGTACTTGACGGAATTGAGCTGCCACAAGATGAGCTACAATCAAATTTTCTCCCCACAACCACCAAGGTATTACAGTGGGTATCACGTAACTTAAAAGAGTGGCCAATGGTGCATACAATTTGTACTGCCACATAACAATCCAATCGGCTTCCATGTCACTCATGTCAATCGTCGATACCTTGGACTCATAAGCCGGATGAGGCATTAATAATGCCCAACCAACATGTGAAAAGAAAAAGCCACGGTTGGAGTTGTGCGGGTCAGCATCCGTATCCGTATATTTATGGTGTATCCTATGATCTCTAACCCAATTAAAAATACTATATTGAACGCCAACGGTCTGAAATATAGCCAAAATAACACGGAGTGGCCATTTAGCCTTATAAGAATGATGAGACCATAATCGATGAGCGCCAGCTGTTATACCAATCGATGATAAAGCGCCTAACATCAACACTATAAACATAAAATTTTAATTGTAATTTAATTTAAATATAACATAAAAATATTGATAACTAGTTTTTAAATACACTAATAAAATATCAAATTTCTTAATAAAATGTTTTATTATCATTTTTTACGAAAAATCGATTTTAAAGAATGTGAGTAAACAACTCACAATAGAATAGAATAGAAAAACATTCTATTCGAGCGCTCGGTCAAATTTTAGTAATGCTAGTGTATTTTTATACGAAATAATTTCAATAAAGAAAAAAGTCCACATATCAAAGTAATATTATCCACATTGTGGTCAAGTTAATAAATTTTATTCGTATTGCTTGGCTATTTCTTGTCGAGTACTGGCTCAGTAGTCATTTGGAATTATACGAGATGGAAAACAACTAACTCAGAAGAAAATAAAAAAGTATAGATCTTCTCGGAGGATTCATAGAAAATTGTGATAAAATCTGTGTGATTTTCATTAAAAAACTGACTAAATATTGAGTAACACGAATAAATAAGCTATGTTATTTATGAATGTAGAATTGAAGTTTATGAATTAAAGATAAGACAAACTTGGTCACGAAGTTGATATTACTATTTTAATAGGCGGGCTTTTTTTGGGGAGGTCGGAATTTAGTATTTAGCTCTTTATTGTATGAATGTTCATGTTGTATTTTATACGGCAGTTTTATTTGCTCTTGGTACTTACTAAACAATACAGTGTACAGCCTGACTTGACCTGTAATACAACAGTAAAGACCTGCTAAAGCCGCTAGATGTATACTTAAAAAAAAAAGCCGTCGACGTCTTATACTAAAAATATCATCATCAGACAAAACCACTTCATCAGGTGGAGGTGCGCTATAAGGACTACTTCTTACCCTCTTGTCCATTGACAATTCATCTGAAAAATAAAAATCATTCATTAAAATTACAAAATGATTTTTTCTCTTTTTAATTACTTACGCCAAAATATAACATAGGCCCTTAAGCAATAGTGTTTAAATAAATTGAAAACTTCATCAATTTTCAACAACACTTGATTTTTCCAACCTTGAACTTTTGTTGAACTTAAATTACCAGAACATCCATTGGAACAATCATTGTGTACATTTCCATTCTGTCTCACAATTGTACTATTTTCGGTTGCATTTGGACTCATTTCAGCTATTTAAAAATTTTAAAAAATTACAAACTATGATTCTCAAGTAAACTAAAAAGTACTTTTTTATACTGACTGTTTACCGATTGATCGACGTTTTCTATTAGTTGTCCATTTGCTTTTAAACGAAAGAATAAAATGAAAAGATTATAGTTCCTGAAATATATAATTAAAATAAAAATATATTATGTATTTCTGTATAATTACAATCGGTAATTAATACTTTGACGAAACAAAATTGTAATGTTATGTAAAATGTAATTTTACATAATTGATTAGATAAATTATCAAAAAACACAAATTAAGTATTTGCAATGAAATTCGAACTTTATTTAACGAATAATAAATCGAAACAAAATAAAAAACAAAAGNATCAAAAAACACAAATTAAGTATTTGCAATGAAATTCGAACTTTATTTAACGAATAATAAATCGAAACAAAATAAAAAACAAAAGCGTACTCCATTGATGGGTTAAGAGTCCAATTAATATTGAGTAAACTTTAATGAATAAATAAATAATTAATTTTTTAACCTGGATTTTTTCTTTAAAATAACACAATAATGACAAAGTATATCAAATTTATTAATTTCACAATTCAATATCATAAAATTTTTAATATTATGATTAAAACATAGTATTTTAAATATATAAAATGTATTCTTTTTTAATTATATTGGACTTTTACACCATATCAAAATCATTTCTTTAACATAATGTTAATAATAAATAAATAAAACCATGTCATTACTCAATATTGTATAATATCTATGTAATTTATTCGATTTTAGCTCTATAACTTTGTAACGACTAAAAAACACGTTAAAATGGTCTAAGATTTGATATTTATCAACTATTGATTCAAAACTAGAATATTAAATTATTGATTTCAATATTGGGCTCTTACCTCAGTATACTGTATATATTATCTTAGATAATTAAAAAAAACATTCGAAGATATTATAAAAAGTGAAAAGAAGCTTCTGGTGTAATGTGTGATAAGAGAATTCCAATAAGGCTAAAAGGTAAGTTCTACGAGACTGCAGTGAGACCAGCTAAGATGTAGTATTCTGAGTGTTGGGTGGTTTGTTAACCAGAAGAATAGAGAATAGAAGAGAATAGAGCAAAAAATGACTGTAGAAGAGATGAGAATGTTTAGATGGACGAGGAAGTGACTGGAGAAGATAGAATAAGGAACGAACATATAAGATAAGGGAAAATAGACTTAGATGGACTTGGTCATGTTGTGAGGAGAGAAGAATCGGAAGCTGTAAGAGTATATCTGAAAATAAATCTTGAAAGTAGAATAGACAGAGATCAAAAAAAGAGAGGAAGATGTTATTTAATGCAATACGAGAACGGATCATATCGTGCGTAGATGATGTGGGAGATCGTGTCAAATTAATGTTTAGGATAAGGACCTCAAGTAGTCAGGATAAAGATAAGTAAAAAGAATAAAAAAAAATACAAAGATAATATAAAAACACATTAAGTATAAAATATTTTTTCCAAAACGCATAAAACCCAAAACTAAATAAAAATAACAATTTTTATGTAGTATTATTAATTATACAATCATATAATTAAAATTAATATTCTTAAAATTACATTATTATATAATTACATATTAGCAGATCAAAAATATCAAAATTTATTGTACTATATTAGTATGTGCTTCAATTAATGTTTCGAATCTCAAATTACAAAACATTTTGACTATTAAGTACAGATATTTTTTCACAAGAAATATTTTTAAAATAATCACACTCTGGTAGGCAATATATTATACGTAAATAAATTTGTATTTACTTTTTTTCTTTATTAAAATCCTTGACATTTTTTTTTTTTAATGCAACTCAACAAAGCCTCATAAAAACATTTAAATCCTTATGTTACTATTTCACAAAATATTAAACTCGTTCGTAAGTTTTTATTTTTGTGGAAATTAATTTAATTCTAAAACTAAATATATTTTAGGAAAATTCATTTGGTTTTTTTATCGAAGTAAAATGACTGTAATTACATTTCAAATATAGTACATTCCTATAAAATCAAATAGTTGGAACAATGTAACATCACAATCAATGCAATAACACATATCTCAAAAAAAATGTTTTATACATTAAGTGTTTAAAACGCGGCTTGTTACATTGAAATGACAGTATAGTAATTTTTTATGCAGTACCACGAATCTCCAAAAGTTAGAAATCATAATTTTCAATATCACTTATCTCCAAATAATTCAAAAAAATAAAGTAATTTTTTTTTGCATATACATGGTAAAGTATTGTTAATAATAACAATAAAGGTAAGATTTTAGGTAAGAGTTTCACTTTTTGAGAAACTATTACTACTATTACATAAGGACTCCTGTGTTTTACTTAATAATATGAGAGAAAAAAAAATTTATAAAAAATTTTTTTTTTATATTTTTTTTTTATTTTATCCTTTTTAGTCAGTTCAATAAGTCATAAATTATTTATATAGTAATTATCAACAAAAACTGTCCATACTTATGATCGACAATAAACAATTTAACTTGCGTTAAATATAATAATATGCCTGTCTATTAATAAACAAGATTTATTAAAGACAAGATTTCCGTATGTTGAATGATACATTAGTTAGTAAACTAGATGACTAGATGGCTAGTGACAAAATGGTAATACAAATATTTTTGTTATTATTTACAATGAAATATCATTTACAAATTTATTTAAATTTACTAAACTTTAACATACTCTTACAGAACAATTGATCAGAAAAAATATTTATAAAAACAAAATTATTTGCAATTTCATTACTTTAATATTATCAAGCCAAAAATAGGAGGTCTTATTAAAAAAATTTTCAAAAATTAGCGATTTTTAAATTAGTAATTTTATTGGAGATTTCCTCCATTCATGGGGAACGAGGGAAATTTTTCAATTTTTGAGGGTAATGTCTTTGACTAAATATGATTTGTGATCTTTTGATGTATCGTTGAAAGAAATCAATTCGGTAAGAGTTGAGAAAAAGTGGCAACAAACACAAAAAAAACACATCATCGTAAAACCAATACCTTCTCAGCTTCGCATCGAAGCACAAAATTAATGTAATGGTAAAAGTAAAGTTATTCCTAAAGAAATGAAAAAAAAATTAATTGACAACATAATATTTATTATACTATATATAGTATGTGCTTTAATTAATGTTTAGAATCTCTATGTTGGTAATTTTTCTCTTTACCAACATTAAATTTCTTAAAGTTTTGCAAAATATGAAACTCATGTCCAAAATCGATCACCCTATTTAAAAAAAAATTATAATATACTGCAAAGATTTACTTATTTGCAGTGTGATTTTTTGTAAACACATAGATTATGAGTATTCGTTTATTTTTACTACCAAGGTTTACGAATTGCAAAATAAATAAAAGAGATGACTTATGGTGGAATTTAAATACAGATTTAATTTTATTTATACTCAAAAATATTTTTTTATTTCACTTTTTTTATGAAAAATATAATTTATTTTCAAAAATAATAATAATAACTAATATTGACCAAGTCACATTTTTAATGACATCTCATCAAATTTGCTAAATAAAACTAAAACAATGTTGTCAATTTGACAAAAACTCACGACTTTAATATATAAAAATATAATTGTGATTGCAGTTATATTATATTCAAATATTTAACTACATAGTAAGCAATCACTTATATGAATGGATTAAGTATTTGAATTGGGCTAATTGCTATACTAATATAAAAAGTGTTGAAAAAATATACATATAGGTAACATTTTAATTAGTAACAAAAATATGATTAATAAAAAAAGAGATAAATAATGATTAATAAAATTGCATTATTTAAGTCAAATAAGTCAAATAAAACATTAATTACCAGATAATCAATACACAACCAGGCTTTTTTCTCTAAAATCTAGATTAGGAAGTATAAATTCTTTCAAGTTATCAACAAAAAATAATATAAGCCACACTATTGAAAAATCTTTCAAGTTTTGCTATTAAATAGATCTTATACACCATCTCCTTTCACTTGTTCAAACAATTTAACATGTGTGTAACTTTTTTTTTTTTTATTGTAATTTACTCATTATAGCGAACAATTTTCAAAATAAGTCTGATTTCGGAATAAATCTCAATTATATTTTCCATGCTGTCTTTTATTAAGTTTAAACGTTTTTCGTAAATATACATAATACCGTTGTAAATATAATGCTGAAATAGTTTTTAATGCTTAATGCGTCTTCTAGTAATGCTTTTTAAGTTTTTCATATTAAACGAACAGTATATAGTATGAATAGTTATTATTCAATATTAACAAAAATTTATGAATGTTTTAGAACGCTAAATTTACTTATATAATAAAATTAGATTTTAAAATGTCATATAGATAAATATATATTAATAACATATTGAGTCATATCATAATATGACTCAAACATTGTTTTAGGAATACTACGATTTAGTAAACACTTATCATGAGAATTTTAAAATTTAAAATTTAATATATATGTATTTTTTTAAATTTTATTTTCAATGAACTTACAATATCCGACCATTTTATTTCCAATTTTATATTTAACTAATATAAAAAAAGCCATAGACGTCATTATTCATACTATATGTGGGTGGCTCAAAAATATATCTGCCTTATTGTTATTTTTCTCGAAGAATCATAAAATTAAATGAATATTTAATTTTCTTGTCCTGCGTTATATACTAAGAATTATTAAAAAGGCAAAATAAGAGGGTATCGTATAAACTTGCTATTTTATTGGTATAAATGTTCTATTTATATCAAAAAGCCTATACATAATTTAGTTCTGTCCTCTGGGTCTAGAAATTAGTAATTTATTTTGAACATATTTTCTAATATTGGGTCACTAGTTTCAATGAACGAGAATAGTTTTATTGAATGATGCATAACAAGCATATCTTAACATTAAAATGCTATAGTTATTAGATTTAATTTTTTTAAATTATTATATTATATTATATCATTTATAATTTATCTATCACATGAAATGTTATAATTTCAAATTATTTATGGAGTAACTTAATATTATGTCATATAATATCATCTTTTAATGTACGTTTTAAATTGTATCTCACGACTAGATATAAATTTTCACCATTTTATAAAAG